TTAGCGATAAATATCTTTCTGTGTGTGCGGTACTGGGGACTGAATCCAGGCTTTTGCACTGAGTTACATCCCCACCCCTTTTTTACTTTGAAACGGGATCTTGCCATGTCACTAAGTTGCCCAAGCTGAGCTCCAGCTTGGGATCCTCCTGCTTCGGTCTCCCAGAGCCCCAGGATTACAGATGGGCACCACCACTGTAATTTTTTTAACCTTGACCTGTAAAGTATCTCCATAAATGAGAAATTCTAATAATGATTATACCAAGCTAGTTAAAAATATTACACTTTTTAAAAAAAGAAGCATAAGTGTAGTTTCACTTTCAGTTATCCTGATTTACTCTCAAATTAAAGCAGGGAATTTGCAGTTCATCAGGTGTGTCACCCATTTAAGGATGGTAGACACATTTCTGTATTGCGCATTCACAGATAACACCTAAGTTAATTACAGAAATGCCACTGATTTGTTTATGAAATGCCTTCAGATATGACTTTTAATGGGATGAAAGACAGATGGCAATGTACATGAGATACATTAAGCTGGGCTGAGGTCCCAGGCGGATGATTCTCACAGTCATCTGTCCAGGCCTCGTGCTCCTCTGGGGAAAGGTCACACTTTTTAAGGCAAGTTTTATACATGCAGTTCTGATCCTAGGTGTGGACAGAACAAAGTCTTGGCTAAGTCTGGGGCCCTCTTGTGCAAGACAGGATGTGTGAACATCAATCAAAGTGCCTGTGTTGTCTTAGTCTAGTACTGACTGTCTAGAAGTCAGTTTATGAAGATGGGCCTCTCCTGTAGACAAATCAGTGCCCCGATCCAGGGCATGGATAGAGGCTAGTGGGGAAACAGATGAGGGATATGGGGACATGCAGGGGTCTGGTGCAGGGACCAGCTTCCCAAGTGAAGGGGGAGGGGACCCCAAAACCAGAGGCACCAAGTGCTGCAGGAATCTCTTCAGCATCAGATACACAGAACACTAGATCCACTTGAGTCTTTATAGTTTTCTATGTTATAAGGCTTTTTTTAGCTTCTTTTACTGAGGAAAATAAAACTGCTTAGAAGATTTGAAAACTCCAGGAAAACACAAGGGGAGATATTTACTAAATGTCTACCCCATCATAGATCTTTAAGAGTGCTTGCTCAAACAATAGCTAGAATGGCATGATTGCCAGCATGCTTACCATTAGTGACCTCAGGGTGAAGAGAAGGATGTAAGTGTGTCCAGTTAACCCTATATGGGTAGATATTTCCAGCTGATTGTAAAAAGGGAGGCCAAGCCCCATACTGGGGGCTCTGTGTGCAGATTGGCATAACAGTTATCTCACAAACTCACAAGAACGTTATTATCATCTTGCTGGTGAGGTGTAGAGTTTGGGCAGCTCGTCTGTGCCATGGGTCCACACGGGGCACACTTGGTTCAATGCCACACCCGTTTGAATCCCCATGCCCCGTTCCTCCTTCTGTCCTGCACTTCCTGCTTCTAAGAGATTGACCATGGATTTCAGAATCATTTTCAGGTATTCCCTACACCCTCAGCGAAGGCGTTACATCCATAGCCCCTGGGAAATCTGCTGGGAATACTGGATGAGTCTTCCAGGCAGAGGACGTGTGTCTCACGAAGTCCCTCAGGCGTCCCTCCACATTCTTCATTGCTATCTTCCCCATATCTGCTCTCCCCTTGAGCACCATGTCCTAAACACTCACCTCGACATCAAGATTCCTGAAGTGTCCCTGGTAACTGCCATGCAGAGCCCAATCTTAGCAGCTATTGCTCTAGAGGAGTTCTAGAGCCACCAATGTGCCTTGCCCAGATGGGTCCTAATGCTCTCTAAAAAGAGAAGCAGGAGTAAAAGCTTGTGGCCTGCTTTCCATGGGCTGCAGTGGCCGTGAATGGGCTTTGGCATTGACACCTCCTGCTAAGGGACATCAGCCTCACATGAAGCATCCCAGGCTCCTCATCAACCCTTTAACAGAGAGGAGTTCACCAGCTTTGCTGGGAGGACCAGCTAACTTTGAAGAAAGAATGTGTAGGCTGACCAGCAAGCTGGGTCTTTAACTTGCTATGCAATTCTTCATGCATCACTTGCAAACCCTGGTGAAATGAAGGCGAAATGAAGATAAACCCTGCTTCTCCAGGCGCTGAGGCATTGGAGGCAGGTGTAGATTGAGCCATTCTGTGCATACGCAGGAATGAGCCCATTTCCGGGGAAGCCAGCAGGCAGAAAAATGCATGGTTGGCTTTGCAGTGTGTGGGGAGCAGGAGGGCACCAGGGGTGCTGGGGCACTGGAGAGATCAGCCCCAATGCTGTTCCTGTGAGAGCAAGGCTGGCCTTTCCCTCTGGGCAGCGCCTGGCCACATCAGAGCTTCCCCCTTCTGCTGGTTTCTGTCCCAATCTGCCCTGTCCCTCACCTGCCGAAATTAGTCAGAGAAGCAAAATTACCACTCTTTACCCTGGTGATTATTTACCTTGTGTGAATTAGAAAAAGACTTCAGCCTCCTCCTTTCTAAAACTTTTTTCATTCACATCCAGTGATTCTTGTCCTCTGCCAGTACTGGTGGCATAACTGGCAGTTTCTGCCCCTCCCAGGGGCTGCCAAAGGACAAGGTGGCTGTTTGCAATGCATCTGGAGCCCCAGCAACCTGGGTAACCTGGGTCTGGTACGGTGTCTGTGTGCTGATTCACCAAGATTAACATCGTTGCTTCTGGCACACGGCATCGTGCTCTGCTGGGCAGAGTTTGAGAAAAGCTAGCAAGGGGCACCAAAACATACCCAGAATCCAGCTATCCATCACCAACCCCTCCACAAGTGCTCTGGTACAAGCCCCTACCATCAATTCTTACCTGAAACACCAAAGCAAGTTCCTGTGGCTTCTCTGTCCAAACTCATGCAAGAGCCCCAGGCCCAAAGTTTGGTATTAATGGAGAGGGCAGAAACTGAATTTCACTACAGTGTTTAGAGGGGTGGTCTTTTTTTTTAAAAAAAAAAAACAAAAACAAAAAAGAATAGAAACAATACAGAATTTCTAACCAAAATAAGAGGTAATTGGCACTAGTTAATATTCTGTATATTGTTATCTTTAAGATAGTTGATCAGAGATCTAGGCATGAAAAAATGATCAAATAATCATACACTGAAAACACAAACTGTTCTGCTTGATGAACTAACAGGGAGAAATGTGGTCCTTGGGATCAGATTTGATTAAGTCATAGTGCATAGTGTGGAGACCCATGTTAGAGTCCTGGTGTGTGTGTGTGGGGGGGGGTGGAGACAGAAACAGAGACAGAGAGAGAGACAGAAAGAGATGGAGAGAGACCATTGGAAAATGGTACAGCCAAGAAGGACTCTGGGAAGAAATCGTAGCATACTTCTTGGACTTCCAGCCCCCAAGACAGTCAAATAAACTTCTTTTCTTTAAAAGTTGCCTGTCTCAAGTATTTTGCTACAGCAATATAAAGCTGATCGATATAATGGCAGCTTCCTGCATCTTCTTCCTCTGTTTCCCCTGTCCCACCCTGCATGCCATTCAGAGTGACCATTTGAAATGGTACTTATACCAGGTCATTTCTCAGCTCCAAATTCTAACATGATTCGCTGTTACATGCCAAGGAAAAGCTCCCATCTTTCTATGACCAGTGAGGCAGCACCTGATCTGTCCTGGATCTGGCTGCCCTCACAGCTGCTGGTCTCTGTCCTTGTGTCTAGCAGCCTGGTCCTCTGCACCTCCACAGCATGCTCCTGCCACAGAGGTAGGCTGTCTCTCCTCTCCACTTTTTCTCTCTCTTCTTGCTATTCTGGTCTGGTACGCTTTCTTCTGCAGTGAATTTGAGGGTGTCAGGTTCGCTCCTCCGGGAGGCTTCAGGGTGATCTGGAGGTGAGACATGTTAGGAAACTCTGTCTGATCATTAAGGGCTTCCTGGTCTGTTTCCACCTGAAGCCAAACATCTGGACAGACTATGCGAAAGCCAGACCCCATATTTGGTGGTTCTTTCCAGGGAGGTGTTTGCCAGGGAACACAGACCATCTGGCGAATCTTCCCATTTTCGCTTTCTATCCTTGGGTTAACATTCAGGTGCTTTGCCTTTGCTAACATTTGTTTATGCTACTTGGCTGGATCCTGTTAGAAGCTGCAGAGGACATCGAGGTGAGGATTCCCCATGGAAGAGTGCCCAGGCCAGAACGATGGTATAAAGACCATGTGAAACCTCTGGATCAAATCCAAGGGTTGCTTTTAGAGGGATTCTCGATAACTTAGTCAGAGGAATCAGTGTACTGCAATTCCAGAAGTTGTAGAAGAAACTAGAATTCTGAAAGTTTATGTGATCTCAAGGCAGCTGAGACCTCCTAAAGCTCAGTTGTGTAATCTCTTGAATGGGAAAGAACATTCTTGGTGTGTTCAGGGCTACGCTGACAGTGAGGTAAAGAATTCGAATCCCGTGCAATGGGGAAATGCTCTTCTCAGCAGATGTGAGTTTGTGTGTGTAATTCTCAGAAGTCTCTTCTATATTTGAAAGTACTGTTTAAGCCATGGACTAATGAAATAGAGAAATCTGAGGGCTTCTGAAAACAGTTCCTTCCACTCTTCTCTCCCCAGAGTAAACATTTACTCACCACTTCAGACTCGGCCTGGTTGCCCACTTCCGGGGAGTGGGCTTCTCCCACTGGGCACCTGGGCACTTTTACCATTCTCTGGTCCTTTCTCAGCAGCCTGAGCTTTGGTTTGCACTACCCTGACACCTGGACACCTGGGGGCTTGACACCGCTTCTCCTCCATGGAGTCTTCCCAGGTATCTCTGGGGGTGTGCCTGAGGGACGACTGGAAAGGAGACATAAAGACCCAGGAAGAGGGGCATTACCTGCGGACAAGGAGGCTGCGACCTCTTGCTTTCTTGGGGTAAACAGGAACATTTCTGAAATGCAAAATTTTCCCCTGAATAGATACAGCCCGCAGCTGGATTTAGGGCCACTTAGAATAACACACTCTGACTGTTCCTCTACTGGTAACAATACTGCTTTCTGTTTTTATTTTCTCTTTCTTTATTCTTCATTTGCTTTCACCCTGCCTCTCTTTTTCTCTTCATAATGCCCGTCACCACTCTGTCTGACAGATTTTCTTGCAGCTGACTTTGCAGATGAGAAACATGAAAGGATATTTCGGACTCAGTGCCGCGTAAGGGTCCTTGAGCCAATCTCTGCACACCAACTGCGCACTGCACCCTGGGCAAGCCCTGGAGTATAAAGATGAACATGGCCTGTAATATCACAGAGCCCCACCCTGCAGTAGCAGAGCTCCTGGGATTCTGCAGTCTCTGCCCCTCAGCTCCTCTGCATCTCCATCTGCTGCGTCAAGGCTGTATCACTGCGATCCTCCCAGACACCCGGGCACTGTTCATTGGCCTTATGGGAAAACCATTCTCTGGGATATTGGCGTCTGCACTTCTGAGAAGGTAATAGAATAATCAATTTCCTACCAGTCTGCTTTGCACAGGAAAAGGCTTGATTGAAAACTGAAACAGATGATTCTACCTCCCATGTGCTCTGAGCAGCTTTTCTTCCTAATGCTTTGAAATCTTTGGCCGCCGTGGCTTATTGGTAGGGTGGATCCCGGGCCACACAGGGGGAGAGCGAAGGGAAAGTCCCATACTGGTGCCAGAGTTCCTCCCACCCCAAATGCTGCCTGTCAAGCTGCCTCTCTACCTCTGTCTGGATTTAGGGTGAGGTGTTAGCTGCTGACCTGGTGCCTCTGCTGCTGCTTGCAAAATCTAGATGCTGAGCTTGGCCAAACCCAGGTCTCTTGGTGTGGGATGGAAGAGACTGGGCTGATCTATCAACTCAGGGCTTTTCCCGGGACTTGGGGAACCTGGGAGACACAAGAAGGCCTGGGATGCAGTCCATCCATTTGGGAACTGGGGTGACAGAAATCACACAGCTCAGGCTCAGTGTCTTCAATCCAAGCTGGATTGGCTCACGGTACCCTATTTCACACTTTGATTAGTGACAGATCCCTCACCCCCATCAATCCACAGAGGAGCTGGATGCATCCTCAGTGCTTCACATAGAATCAGTCAGTCACTGTGTCCTCTTCTGCCACCCACAAGCTCAGCTCCCCCACCCACCCAGGCCCTCACCTCCTTCCCTGGGCCTCCGGCAACATCCCCTCACCCCGAGGCCACCTGATACCTCCTAGGACTTTCCTCCTCCAAACTGGCCATGTCCCTGCAAGTCCAGCCTGTCCTACTGTCTGAAAGTCGGGTTCTCCATCCTGCAAGCCCATGAGGTATTTCCACAGCTAGTGTCCAGTCAGGTTCTTACTCCTTAGAGGACTCAGCTTCTATCTTTCTGATACCTCCCCTTTCTTTTATTCTTTCTAGAATGTATCTCTCTATGTCAAAGAACTGCCTGCACTTGACACATAGCTGAAATGCTACCTCCTCCATGAAGCCTTCCACGATCTTCTAGTCTGGAAGCATCTTTGCTTTCTGTAGGTCTGTTGAAGTCTTCTGTTTGCAGCCCATAGAGACGCTTCAGCCAAAACAGACCGGAACCTGAAAATGAAGCCACTAAATAGCTCCATGCTCTTAAGGAATTGACACCCTGAGCCTGGATATTTTTGTCTGTGGAGACTGATCACACCACCTACACTCCTTGTGAAGATTGCACCCAAAGCATTCGTGTAATGCACACAGTGCTTGATAAGGAACAGACATGGTTGTTACTGTGGGTGCCCACTCTTATGTACTACCTTTGAGTTACTCCGGTATCAGCCAAGACCCCTGAGTGCTGCAGTCCAGTCTGTCGCAGAGGGTGGCCTCAGATCCTACCCTGGTGGGGACGGGTGACAGCTGAATTTTCTGAGCACCGTGGCAGAGGTCTGCTCTGAGGCTGCTGAGGGCACAAAACGGTCACCGAGACCAGCAGTTCCAGGACCACAGTCATCAAAGGCCCAGGGCCCCACAAGGCCCAGCCCATGCTGTTCAAACAAAGGATGAGTTTCCTTGAAAATCCTACTCTTTCCTCCCTAGATTTCCCTTTCGGCTGCTTCTGTGGCCACACATGTTTCCGATGAATCCACACTCAAATGAATTTCGACCGACAAATAACTCGATACAGCTCTTTGGTGGGAGAGAATTCCACCAGGATGAGGTCATGGTTTGGCTACAGTAAAATTAAAAATAGCCCAGCACCCGCCGCTGCCCAGCCTGGCATCCACCCAGGGCGGTGCATTTGGGAACCATTATCGGGTTTATCGGGGTAACGTATCGCAGAAAACCTGCTTCTGTTTATAGACCATTTTATTATTCCGTTTTGACATTTCCCTTTTTTCTTCTTCCCCTTAAGCAAATACCTATTAGACTGAGTTGAAATGCGATCCGACCAAATATACTGTTTTTCAACTTCAGGCTAAAGCAGGTCTGACTCGAAGCAGAAATACTTAAGTGAAAAGTTATGATTTACTTTCTTCCTAAAAGGAAACAGTGTCAGAAGGAGAATTTTATGAGACAAGAGCCCTCGCGGTGCACAGAGCAGAGGCCGGCAGGCAGCTGACGCACATTTTTCCTGGGAAAGTTCTGGGCTTCCAAGGCTGGGCCTGATGCCCCGCCCCTAGCGCCCCCTGTGGTTACGTGGGTGTAGCGCACCAGGGGAACCACATGGCCTTGCAGGTAGGTGGCTGGTGCAACCCGGCAGAGGATGATTATCTTTGCCCATTTATCTTATTGGGTAAATTGAGACTCACAGGCTGAAGCAGCTTGCCCAGGATACCCTAAGTGTGTCCTAGGTGTGCCAGCATACGGTGTAAGAGGGATTGAACCTTACAGTGTGGAAGATGTGAGAACCAGCTCCCCTGTGTGATGTTTGGCCAGGACTTTCTCCCTCCCACTTTTTAAAATCAGAATATGTTTGCAATATGTAATAAACATACACATTCGGAGGAAACAGAGACCCGACCTGAACCTGGAGTGTCCGACCCAGAGCCCGTGTCTCAGTGGTGACACCATACAGTTTCTGCGACCAATTAAATCAGAAGCCAGATGCAGAGGTCAAAGGTGAAATCCAAGCCTCAGCGAGAACCAGACCCGGAGTTGCTGCCTGAAGCTTCCAGGTCCTTTCCTCACCCCAGTTTCTGTCTCATTCTGTCAGGCCTGGGGCCACAAGTTAAATGATGGAATGGGAAGATGGTTTGAATTCTCTGAATGCATCAAAATATAGGCCTGAAAGGAAAACAGGGTGGCGAGGGTGAGGCGCAAGGGCCCCGCCTGGCCTGCAGGCTGATTGACACACATAACCGCATTTCACGGGCAGGGTGAGCCCCTCTGCCCCGCAGGCTGCAGCCCTCGAATTGATTTCCCGCCCTTTCCCTCCTGCCCCTTGGACTTCTGATTGTTCCCAGGCATGGCGACCTCCAGGCTGGCCTCTCTACAAAGCCCACAAGGCCTGGGCCCGACTTCTTTTTAGCTTCAGCTAAACGGTGGAATCTGTAAGGGCAAATAGGCATATCCAGAAAAGAGAGACACCCCAGAGTCCTTCCTGGTGTCTACACGGTCCTGTGAGGCGAGAGCTCACCCTGCCTCTAGAAGGCAGACCTTCCTTGGAAAGGGGAATTAATGCTTCTCTGTGGCCTAATCTCCAGACTATTTCAGGCTGCTGTAAACCTCTACTTCTGGCCACCTTGAGGCTCTACTTTTGGCTTCTTCCAGGCTCTCCTTCTGAATGCTGCCACAGAGCAAATTTGGACATGTGTCTGAGGGCAACAAAGCCATATTCAAACCACAGCGAGCACACCCATCCTCTGTTCTTAATTTACAAATGAAGTGAGCATGACTTACATGCAAAATGCAACCCCACCAGCACCCTTCAACCACCTGAAAACCTGGAATTGCACATACACTTAAATGATAGCACACATCAATAAATTCCACAACCCCCCACCCCCGTCCAAGAGGTTATGGATAAATCCGGCCAACAGCATCATGCTCAGATCCAAGTGAGACAGACGAGAAGCGACTGCTTGTCATTTATTCCTGTGCTGCTATGGGGAGCGTGACTTGGCCCAGGCTGTCGGCCCTTTCTCTTCCTCTGCTTTGCTCCACCTTGAACTGCAGTGGGCTGTGGCAGCTCGCTTCAGTGTCCACCCTGGCTATCGAGCCACCATTCGCCACCCCACATCAGTGCAGCCAGGCCATGTATGACCCCTCCCACTCCCCCACTTCGCCAATACTGTTACATTTTTGAGAACAGAGAGGACACTGGAAGTAGCTCAGATCTGGAAAAGAGGGACCTGGACCCCTTATTTGCATACCCAGCACTCATTGCAAGCCTTTTCAAAGATTCCCTGGCTTTGGCCTTGTCCTCAGTGAATCAGGTGGGCAGTGCTACCTAAGGAGCACTTCCCAGGTGCTCCTCTGGGTTCAGGGTAGAGGAGCCCCCTTGCATGTACCATCCCCTGTGCTGGAACTCAGCCCTGTGACAATCCTCACTTTTGTGTCCTGTAATCCTGCTTCTGATTAGTGTGGGTTCCAAAAGTCAGGATTGCAGCAGAGCTGCTCTGTGACTGATTCATGATTTCCATCTGAATTGAGTAAAAGAACCCACATCTTGTTGGCAAGACAAAGACCTGGCATAGCTGTCTTGTGTGATAACTCAAAACAAAGCAGTTTGTGTAGCGCTTGGCACTTGTTAGGCTGGTCAACAACAGTTAATAATTTTCACAATGCTTCATGAGGTAAGGGTTATCACTGTTTTATGTATATAAGTGGAGCTCTGAAAGGTCAATAGATTCTACCTTTTATCTCTTAGTACTCTAGTGGGTAAGGTGGTATTGAAGACATTTAATTGAATCTGCAAAATAATTTTCTTAAACAGGATACAATTTAACAGGTTAATTATACCTTCTCTAAGATATAATTAACACATTATAAGCTGCACAAATGTTCATGTTGGTGTGTCTTTGTCTTTTGTCAGTACATTTGTGAAACATAATGAGGAAACCCATCGTGATGAGTTGGTACACACTCATATACAGTCTTGATTCTTTCTACTTCCCCTCCTATTCCTCCTCATCCTCAGACCCTCTCCTTCTCTCCATACTCTACCTCCTTGTGTCCTATCATCTCTTTTATTTTTCTCTTTAAATTATTTGCACTTTGGATTTCTCACATAATAAAAGTCAAACAATAGTTCACTTATTGTGTCCAATTTATTTCATTTAGCATTATGGTCTCAGGATGTATCCATTTCCCTACAAATGACTCCAATTTATGCTTCTTTATGACTATGTAGTACTCCATTGTGTATAAATATACGTAATGTCTTCCATTTTGCTTCTGAGCCCTGGAAAATGAAAACATCAATATTAAAACCCATCAAGATGGTTTGTTCACCTTGCTCTGGACAAAGCTCCTTGAGAACAGAAGCTTGGCCTCCACTATTTACTTTGTAGACCCAATGCCTTTGGTGCCCAAAGTACAGTGAACTATTGGAAGCTGGGTGTGGTGGCACACACCTGTCATCCCAGTGTGCTGGGAGGCTGAGGCAGGAGGCTTCCCCCCACGTTCAACCCCATCCTGGACAATTTATAAGAACTGTTGTACTTCCCCAAAAGGACCCCTGAGATGAAAAATGGGGCAAAACCCTGAGATGGAAAAGATGGGGCAGAACGACCTGTCGTTTTTAGGAAGAAGCGCTTTTATTTTAGCTGGCTCAGCGACACAGTGCAGATGGAATTTGCAAAGCTGTGCAACTGAGTTAGAGTTTTGACTGATTTTTATAGTTCATTTATGATTAGCTCATTGATCATTAAGTACATAGTGATGAGACACAGAAACAAGGTGGGCCTTTGTTCCCCTTTGCTTGAGGTCAGAGGCATCTCACAGTGGGTGGTTAGCCAATTCATAGCCCTTGGTCTGCCAATTCCAGCAACATTTGTCTCTCATAAAGGGAACAATGCAACCATTTGTCTCTTACAAGCGGAACAAAAGTTGACAGCACACAGGTTACTATGGTGGGGGGGGTGACACATTACAGAACAGCATAATGACGCAGTCAGTTAAATTTATAACTATGTGGTTGATGCTTGGTTACTAGGGTAACGAGCTCAGTACAGAATGACAATATTGCTAATAACTATCCTTTTAAGTAACTATTTTTGCTAATTATCTTTTAATCAATTATTTTAATTTTTCAGCATCTTAGTATAACAAGAACTATCTCAAAAATTTTTTAAAAAATTATTTAATTGCTAGATAAATTTTATAAAACACAGCACTTATTAGTTACTTTGTATTTATTAAACAACTGCACTTAAAATTAGCTTTAAAGTTTAGACTCTGCATATCTTGTTTTTTACATCTTTAGTTTCAGATACGTGCGTTTGAGCCATAAACTACAATGACAGTTGTATTGGCTTTTTTCTCTGAGCGGATATGGGAGTGTGGGGTGTGTGTGACCTTTGACTGGATGCGGTGCTTTGGGCAGGTGTTGATGACGAGCGAGGAGCTGAGAAATTTTCTTCATGGGCACTGGGAAAGGAAGCAGGAAGTCGTAATTGGGGAAGAAGGAGGAAGTGGCCATCAGGGTCAGCATCCCTGATTTGCCTTCCACCATGTTGAAATACCGCCATAATGTCCTGTCATTTATTTTAGGGCAAAACTCTTTTGATCTGCACCACCTTAAGAATTAGGGACTGAAGTCTCAGGGAGGGAAAATGAGGTTGAGTAGAAGAAATAGCAACTAGCCAGAAAGGAGACAAGGAAATCGAGATTTTAAAAATCACACTTTGAAGAGAAACTGAAGCCTCAGAACACACGACCAGAGCCTTTCTCTCCCCTTCCTTCTTTCCTCCCAAACCAGGCAGACCTGGGCAACTCCCTTTTCTCTGCAACCGGGTTTGTGCCTTGCCTTTTTATTTGTAAATCATCCTCCCTCCCTCATGAATGGAGCACCTTTTGGGGATTTCACCGACGCAAGGAACTTAATGCCCCCACAGTGAGCTATCCTGTCTCACCCATGAGACAAGACTAAGACTACAGATCACCGAGATGCACAGACTCGCACCATCCCGACACATACAGATCCCAGTCCCCAGCGGTTCAGGCTCATTCCTCTTAGCATCTGCACCCTGCTCTTGAGGGCGTCCACTGTCTACCTCTCATAAATCCTACTCACGTCCCTTTAAAAGAATTAAAAAGGGCTGCGAATGCAGCTCAGTACAAATGCCACCGGGCTCAATCTGCAGTATTTTGAAAACGTCGCATCTGAACTGAATCGTACAGGCTCTTAAAATCCTTTAAAACCAGGTATCATAACAATTATTCACATGGCATTTAAATTGTATTAGGTATTGCACATAATCTAGAGGTCACTGAGCCTACACAGGAAGATGTGAGTAAGTTCTGTGCAAATACCAGCTCACTTTTTATGAGGAATTTGAGGATCCATGGGGTTTTGATATCTGTGAGGTATCTGTCAATCTTGGGGTATCTTTCAGTACCCCAAGGACAAGGGAGTTTCTCCTGAGCACTTGGGAAGGTTTTCAGCAGGATGCCAGCCCGTGCTGTGGGATCACAGTGCTGCCTCTCAGCCCCTGGACCAGTGTCTTTGAGATTTGGACAGCATAAAAGGACACAGACCTCGAGCAGAGCTTGGGATCGGGGCTGTCCTCAGGGAGCCCACTGCTTCCCCCACTGTGTTCTTTTCTGTTGCTTTTTCCTCTTTTCCTCTGCCCATCTATACCACAGAGCCAGTTTCTCCCTCACTCTTCACTTTTACTTTTTCAAATAAAACTTTATCACTGCTTTTTGCTCATTTGGTGCAGCTCTTTGTTCCGGAGGCAAAGAACTGGAAACCAGCTCTCTTAGAAGGAGACACTGACACGGCAGCATTTAATCGAACCGTTTTTAGAAACAGCTACCTGACAACAGGCCCAAAGATACATCGAGCTCCTGAAGTAATCAGCGAACGCTCTGCTTCTTCCAGCCTTCCTGGGGAAAGGCCGGAAGTTCAGCAGGAAACGCCCGCGTTGCACTCAAACATCTCACTGAACTCAGCTCTGCTTGAGAGCTGTGGGACTGATATCAAATGATATGAGTAACTGGAGGGAATAACTAAGGCAGTAAATACACAGGTGATGTGGGAAACAGTAAAAACTACACAAAACGTTGTTACGATGCATGCTACTGATAAGAGGGTTTCTCTCTCCTTAGCTAAGAAGCCATCGCATACTCCAGGGTGGTAATCGGCCAGATCTGTAAACTGGGTCCGTTGCCAGCTTGCGAATGCCCTAGCCTCTCAGTAGGGGGCGCTGTGGGGACACCTTGGGAAGAAGGGCTTCTCATCCCGATACCTGATGCTTTCTTTGCTTCTTGCTTCTGCCAGGAAGCAGCTCCCATCGCGTCTTGGCGGAAGGCTGCACAGGCTCACTCCTGCTGAGTTTTGGTGGCCACCTGAAGACAGTGTCTTCTGGATTTTCGGTAGCACCTTCCCCTCTGGCTGCACATCGGTGGGCTTCCGGTTTGCCAGTCACGGCTGTGGCTTTCTGCCTGCTCGCTTTGCCCACCAGCTGCTTGCCAGCTCCAACTCTGGTCTGGGCAAGACGGCTCAGGAGGACTCTTTCCCTTATCCCACTTCAGCCATAGTCTTCTGAGGAGCAGGCCGGCTCTGCCCTGGGGAGAACCAGGGAGTCTTTTGGCATCCAGCAGAGTCCAAAGCCTACCTCTCCATTGCAGCAAAGAGCTATGTATGTGGGATACCCCGTTTACTTAGGGTTTGCTTCCTTTTTGAATGCTGCCTGTCAAACTTAGAGGAGTCTTTAGGGTACTTTTGACTCCTTGATCGGTTAACCATAACTGCTGTATCTCTAAATACCTTCCATGACATTTTTTCTGTTCAAATCACTGTGTGGTTTTTGCCTCCTGATTGGGGCCTGACCTATGCAGCTCTCAGGAGACCAGTCACATTGGTGCGGTCTGAGATCGGTTTGGCTGTGTTTTTGATGCTGATTTCAATGCCATGTTGTCGTTTGCCACAAGAAGCAAGAGTCTCTCATCTGTGACAGCAAGCAGCCACTTGACTGTCCCCTGTGGCTGCATGTGATGAAATATCAACTGCAGATACACACTGGAAGCTCACGTGGCCACCCCACTTGACCACTATGGCAGTGATGGTGACTGTGGGGACTTGGGATGAATCCTTCTTTAGACACCTGAACAATTGCAAAAAGAAAATGACAAATTTTGGTCCTTTTCCTATCAGCGTGTCACAGGTTGGGGGTGAGGGAGCTTCCAAAACTGCTCCCAGGCATGTGCTTGCTTCCTATAGCCACAGGGCTGGTATTGCTAAAATCAGCGTAGAATTTATTGTGCAAGTGGCTGACTTACAGTGGCGACTGAGCATCAGATCTTTCCAAGTGTCTCACAGAACATCCACATCAGGCTCCAGGGAGAAGTGGCTGACACCCAAAAAGACAGGAACTGTGCAGATGTAGACAGGCAAAGGCCTGGCCAATGTGAGCGTCAGTAGATTCTGTGGGTGCTTACCCAGGAAAGGCATAAGGTTAGCCTGGGCCACATTCACTGGTATTACTGAGTGTTCTGGGTAATGTGTCAGCCCGTGCATCCAAAGGTGGCTTTAACAGGCAGGTTGGGCTGTCAGCTGTCACTGTGACCCAATAGTGGCTTATATTAGAGGTTGGTGACCTTCTGTCCATGGGTCAGTTTCCTGCACTTGAAATGTTTTATTGCAAACAGCATGTTTCATTATTTAAATACTGTCTGTGGCTGTTTGTTATGCAGGACACCCAGTTATCCAACATCCCACAAACATCACACGGTCTGCTGTACTGACCACTTCCATTGGTTAGATTATAAGATAAGAAGGCAACATGTACTTGGATGCCTTAGAAGGACATGTGTGAGCTAGTGGTAGAGATAAACTCCCTTAGACTCAGAAGTTTTTTTAAACTATTATGAACTATGTGACAATATCCCCTCTAAGGTAAAAGAAAACTCAGTGAAGTTGGTACTACCTAAGAGGAAAAAGCAGTGAAACACTCGGTGGATCATTTTGGGGGTACTTTATAACACATTTGAAAGTCAGCTCTAAGTCAGATTTGGGCATGAAGAAGCAAAGTAGAAGACTCATCAGCAAGTCCAGAGAAGAGTTGCTCTAATATGTGTTCCTGTGTCC